TTAATAGAACAAAAATTGACATGAAGATTTTGGAAGAAAACAAAACAAGGATGTTTACACGTTTAAATGTTTTATGTAATACAAATTTCGATAATAATTAAAGTTATAAATTTTGAAAAATAATAATTAAATTCAAAAAGATAGAAAACAAAGTTGCATTAATTTTCAAAAACAGAAGTGTTAAATCTAATTGTATCGCGTTTATGATTTGTTTTCAGTAAAATTATGTTGCGCAGCTATCCTAATTTGATTAACACTTATTTTCTCGTTTCGTTCAGAAAATTTTAAATATAAATATGTGTTACAAGCTGTAATTTAGTACTCTCAAGAAATTCATTTATTGGCGCAACGTTGGTCATTTCATCAAAGCCTCCACTGAGTATACCATGTATACTAACTGTGCTCAAATCTGGTAAATAAGAAAATATAGGTGCACCACTGTCACCCTTAATAGAGATTATATCTGTCATAAACTCATGTCTTATTTTATGTCCACTTATAAGACGCGCATCTAATGATCTCACACGACCACAGGTAACATGTGATACGGGGCCAGATTTGCATACATGAGCGCCATTACTAGTCGGAACTACAGCATCATTGATAAATAATTCTCTATATAGATTTGAATGTGTATTTTTTATAATTGCTATTGGTCGGGTATTGCCTATTGGCTTGATTATTTCAAAATCGGATTGGGAATTATTAATTAATTCTACTTTCCCAATCTTTCTTTCATTATAAAAAATTTCTTCGTTCAGATCAAAGCAATGTTCTGCGGTTACCATGTAAAATCGATTTGAGTTTGTTTTGTTCCTTGCGAACAAACCTAATGCACAACTATGATTTTGATTATGTATTCGTTCTCCAAGTAGTATACGAGGAATTATTTTTGCCTTTGCTCTTTTTTGGAGGTTTGGACCTCCTTGTTCATTAGATCCAAATATTATTTCCGGTTTTAATGGTGCAACTGCTTCTAAAAAAGCTTTATTGTGTTTACGGTGCTTATAATAAATAGGTAACATTACAACGATATTATTAACTGTTACGTCATTAAAAATAATCGTGGATAATGGTTTATAAAGATAAGCTAATTCCACTATACGATTAAATTTGGTTGTTAAATTAGCTGTGGGATTACTTATTGGTTTAAATAACAAAAATTTTACGTGTGGGCTTACTTCAGGCAATGATCTTAAAGACCTGGCTTTAGAAAAGTCTACTGTATAGATAACTAATTTGCTAAGTATTACATTCACGGAAGTTCCACCAAAGCTTAAGTTATCAAGTAATGGCCTTATAATTTCATCTATCATAATTAAATTTTTCTCAATATTTAATAGCCTGGATAATTCCGTCTCATCTGCTTCCCATAATTCTGCTAAAGGTTCTCTATAAGCATGAATCTTCATTAATCGATTTTTCATTGTTAAAATAATCATCAATAAATTTATCAAAAAGCTGATATTTTTCATAGCGACA